AAAACCCCAGGCCTCTTTTTTTTTTTTTTTTAAATGGATATTCATCTTTGTCTGAGTTTCTTCACAGCTTGTCTAATAAACTGTACTTGTCACTTCTCTGTGAGAACCGGTTTAATGTAGCCTAAAGGAGATAAAACCAACCCTAAGACTCAGAATTTTATATATGTAATAAAAAAATGACACAGTCTGTTCTAATCTCACTTGTTACAGTCATTTTCCAGCATCAGATTATCCTGATTTATATAAAGCACTGTGAAAAACAAATTTAAAAAGTACTTTTCTGGGTTTACAGTCGATTAAAGATGGAATTAACTTTCTCTGAGTAACCAGTAAATAGCTAGGACTGCTTAAAGTACAGGGTCGTCTCAAATTTAAACACACACTCTTTGTATTAGTGTTGGCAAAGGATCTGTTTCAGCATGGCAGTAGAGCGTTTTTCATGTGGTTGCATTTTGTGATTATTGGCTCAACTTTAACACTCTGTGGTTCTCCATCATGATATACTTAGTACCGGAATGACAAGCATGGAAATGACTGCATGAGGCTGCAATCTTATCTGTCTCTGTGGTGGAGGGGACACTTTTATGCACTTAGGAAAATTATCAGATCTTCAGAATTTGTTTGAGTAAATCTGTCTAACAGCAGTCATTCTGTCTGAGGGTATGCTCAGAATAACATACTGCCATCATTTTCTTGAAATTTCAGTATGCCTATTTCCCATAACGCAATACGCTCGACATAAAGGTGAAGTATGCAGTTTCTGCTCTACTAGCAGAATTTAAAAAATAAAGCATATTTTCTAGCAACCTTTGCAAATGCCCCTTACACTCATCACACTCTTATAATTATTCTTAACCTTACAACATCTTACTATTTTACCTTGGGCTTGACAGTAGCTAGCTAACATGTGTGGCAAAAACTTGAAGTTTAGCTTACCTGTCGAGAAGAAACGCCGCAAGTTTGGCATCTCAATAGAAACCCAAACACTCCATCAAATTACACCACCACAAATGGTTCTCCTTGTTTTACTCTGTTGTCTGTCTCGGTATTTTGTCAAGTCTTTACATTTTGGCTCACACTTCTTTAACCGAATCTGAATTTCTTTTCATATGCAGCGCGTCAGCCATGATCAGAATCTAGATAAACACCCTCCGGCTCAGCCTGCTACAGTAGCCACACCCCAAACTCTTGCAATTGGTTGAGCTGGAAAGTGATTGACAGATCTGAGCAGACCGTTTTAAATGTGTTGGTGGTGCCTGGTGGCAATCTTTACACTTTTGGGGAAGATAAACTCATGAATGGCATGGGTTCAGTCAATGAACAATAAACTGGGTTAAGAGAATGCATTTTAGGATAAAAATCTGCTAAACTTAAAGGGGTCTTATTATGCTCTTTTACAAAGTCTGGATTTTGTTTTGGGGGTGTTCTAGAACAGGCTCTCATACTAGGTTGTTCGAAAAACACATTATTTTTCACATATTTTACATTATTACAAAACCTCTCTCCCCAGTCTGGCATGAACGGCTCGAATAGTTCCTGTATCAAATGAAGGCCCGCCTTCTGAAATACGAAATGTGTTGTGATTGGTTAGCTGGGCCAGTGTGTGTGCTGTGATTGGCACCACTCGGCATCTGGTCGGGAAATGTCATGCCCCTTACCATAGCCGCCTGCAAGCTTCAGTGTAAACATTGAGTCAAAATCAAATCAATTTGAGCGCAATTTAAACCTGGATGATTGTAACCACTCTAAGTTCATCTGCCTTGGTAAAACTAGCATGTCTCCGACATAGTGATAACACTCGTTGCCTTCTCTAGTGCAGCTCAACCAGGTCTCGTCCCATTCGTTGATATTTATGATATCACAAAATATGCGTTGTAGTCCAAACGAGTCGCCCGTTGTAGTTTTTGAAAAGTGATTTCTGTTAAATAAAATTTCTCCTTTTGAATTGGACTTTGAGCTTTGTAACTTTGCAGATTTTTTTTATGCTCAAACAGCAACATTACAGATTAACTAAAGTTGAAAAAGTGAAAAAGCATAATAGGACCCCTTTAAGCTTTAATCATCCATACCCCATAATAATTAAAAAAAAAAATCATAATAATATCTATAGCATCTTGTAGATTTAAAAAGAAAAGAAAAGGGGGAAAAAAAAGAAAAAATGACTTGCATTTTTAGCAGTTATTACTTCTGTCATCAGTGTCACATGGTCCTTCAGAAATCATTCTAATATGCTGATTTGCTGCTCAAGAAACATTTTTATTATCATGTTTATTTGTTTATTCAAAAAAGTCTTTATTGTTAGATTTGATCGATTTAATCCATCCATCCATCCATCCATCCATCCAACTTTTGAACAGTAGTGTATTTTAAAATCGCTAAAATTACTGTTTCTTTGAAGACAAAGGCCTAACTGGTAAATAAACCAGACAGATTGGACTAAATGTCCTCTTTGCTGAAGGGGCTAAAGGCCCATTTTGAAAACCTGCTGTAGCCAAAAAGAAGGAAGATGCAAAATGCCTGAATAAATTGTATAATTGACATACTTTGGTCTTGTTTTTTGTGAAAGTTTGAAAGTGGGCCCACAATGACTGGTCAAACACAATGGAGAATCATTTGTGAAATGTGCCAAATTATAGCTCAAGGATATACATTCTTAGTACTGTACTAAGAGGTTCCTAAAAACACTTGAGAGGCTGTGAAAGGAAAGGATAGGAAACAAACAAGCAAACAAAAAACGTTTCAGTATTATAAATTACATTCTACAAACAAGATTCAATATACTGATGTCAAGGGTTTTGGAGTTTCAGCAGTGCTATTTCCACAAGAATTCAGACACACTGTGATCAGTTTGAAATTTAACCAAGGCAACAGTAAATACAATATTGTTGGTAACTATTATTAAAAATATTAGGAAACTGTTAATCGTTTTTAATATTTTGGGCACTGCATGAAACCTTTCCAGTTTGATTTAAGAGCAGCTGTGCTGTTTTGATCATTCTGTCTACTGCTGTTGCTCACACTATGAGATGATAAATGGAGCACAATGCTCTCTGCTCAGGGTTCATGGAGCAACACTGAGACGTTTCCATTATCAAAACAGTTAATCCTCAAACTACTCTGTTCTGCTACATCAAACTCGTAACCTCATACCTAAGTGCTGGATCAGAGGTCAGTGTGTTTGGGAAGGTAATGGACTGAAACATGTATTTTTAATTAAAGAAAAAAAATAGAAGGTCAAACTGTTGTTTCCACTCACTGATTTTTGCTGATTAATACCAGCCACTTGTTTTCACAGAATACATGTTTTCTGATGAATAATTCCAATATTTTCACTCAGTGTGCAGGGGACACATTTTAAAAACTGTATCAGCTGGGATCATGAATATTAATCAGGTCAAAGATACAACTGAAAAGAATGATTCATTCACAAATAGGACATCACTACTCCTCTCATAAACCGAACACAAAGGGGGATGTCAAGATTTTCAGTGACTAACAACTTAAAATGTGTTCTGTTCCTCACTCAGAGCTATCAAATGACTTCAAAAGACTTACTTTATGATACTTTCATGGTGTTTTGTCATTTTGGAGCTTGACAGCCCTAGCTAGCCCTTCTTCCCTTCCATTATGCTGTGGCCAGGATATCTTCACCTAATACATTTTGTGAATTTTCTTGTGTCTTCTAAATACAAGAAAAAAATTAAAAAATCAATATCAATACAGATTTGGAACAAAATGACAGAGTAAATTATGACTTTCCATCCATATCTGCGTGAACTATTTACCATATTAGATCAAGTGTGACTGGAGTTTTCAGGTAAAGCACGATGCTCAATAAAACTGCTTCTTTGGATTAAAATCACAAAACATTCCACCATAATGAGTGAACATGGCGTAAACCAGACCCATATGTCCCAAGTGTCTAATAATAACTAGTTTTACATGGTTTCTAGTCGTCCCACACTGGATATTTATGGTTATTAACTGGTGCAAGCTCATCTAGGTGTGATGGGTTGGAGATCTACTGTACGTGTTAGACCCTGATCAAGCTGGTCTGGGTTGGTATAGGACCAGTAGCAAACAATTCTACATAAAATGCATCATATTGTGTAATTAAAAACTTTTTTAATTTAAGCAAAGAAATAAAAATCAGTGTCCTGAAAAGGACTACTGTGGCCAAGAACTTATAGAGAGAGACAAAGCAGGAGGATGCAAAAGCCCAATATATGCAAAGGTACTGTATATTACATATATTATATATATTTATATACTATTATATATTAAAAGTATTAGTCATAATATTCCTTAAGATTAAAATAAAATAAAATACATCCTAAAGGGCTGGCTTTTATCCTAGAAAAGTAGAAAACCATTTATCTTGGCTTTATTCATGACACATAAATTTTCATGCAATGGAAACAATAAGGAGCCAACTGTGGACCATAATCTGATGAAACGTCAATATTTTGAATCATCAAAATCAAATAATGCTGACCTTTCGAGGGACTGAGTCAGCAGTGACGTCACGTCGCTCCTCGGCCTCAACAGATGATGTTATGGGAAACTGTTTCCTAAAGCTGTCAGGAGGAAATATGACTATTGCAGCCACAAAGCCCTATGCAATACCTGACTATGGTGAATAACTGAGGATTTACGGAGCAGGAATGTTCATTACTTTGATATATAATTTATCTCTGAGATCAGAACCTGACGACAGTCTACAGCTGATGGGTCCGAGAGCTGAAAGAGCAACAAAACCGGTGGTCTATCTGGTGAAAGGATGCTCCTGAGAGCAGTCCAGACACAGCAGGTGTGAATGTGGCTCCAAAAGAATGCTATAGAACTCTGCTTTAGCAACAGTCTCATTGTTTCAGGTTAAACCAGCCAAATTTGATCCCAGTGAACAGTTAGATTTACTGAATATTGTTTAACATATTAGCAGACAGCCTCCAGGAAAGATGCAGTGTGGTTCCCAAACCTTTTTCCCATTTTAACATTCAAAATCCTTAATGACCCACATTTACAAATGTTCAAATATATATATTTTTAACACAATATGCTTACTTGCCTTTAATTGGTTAAAATTTACAAGAGTGCATAAGTCAGTCTAACTTTTGCATTAGTCTTAACAAAAGCTTCAGACAGGCTGAATGAAAATGTAAATCCATGATCTTCAACAAAAGACAGAGCTATGGTGACAACTAAGTGAATGCTCAACTACTGTAATACCAATTTCTCGCTAGAAATGACAACAAAACTGGAAAAAAGTTGGTCAAAAATGTACATTTACACACAAACCTACAACTTTCAGATGGCAGCTTTATTTTTTAGCTTAACTGTCACAGAATGGAACACACAGAATTGTGGGAAATCACAGGCTGCAAAGGATACGTCTATGCTGCCTTCAAAAATGTATCAGATGAAGGAATCTCAGCAGACAGGATGTGACACGATCACTGGATTCAGACGTGCCTGGTTGCCATCGTACCTCAGTATGTCGCCTCCAGAGGCTTTTTTTTTTTTTTTAATACAATGATGGAACGTTTTTCTTCTAAAATATTACTACAAGTATTACTACTTGTTTCAGAGCATTTAGAGAACATTCAGAAATAACATTTTCATAATTTAATAGGAGTGTTACCATAATCATACTCTCTTACACTCACCCACTCAACCTATTATTTGAGCTTTGTGACATGGTGCATTATCCTGCTGGAAGTAGCCATCAGAAGATGGGTACACTGTAGTCAAAAAGGGATGGATACGGTCAGCAACAATACTCAGGTAGGCTGTGGCATTTAAACGATGCTCAATTGGTACGAAGGGGCCCAAAGTGTGCCAAGAAAATATCTCCCACACCATTACACCACCAACACCAGCCTGAACCGTTGAGACAAGGCAGGATGGATCCATGCTTTCATGCTCTTTACACCAAATTCTGACCCTACCATCTGAATGTCGTAGCAGAAATCGAGACTCATTAGACCAGGCAACGTTTTTCCAATCTTCTATTGTCCAATTTTGGTGAGCCTGTGCGAATTGTAGCCTCCGTTTCCTGTTCTTAGCTGACAGGAGCGGCACCCGGTGTGGTCTTCTGCTGCTGTAGCCCATCTGCTTCAGAGATGGTATTCTGCATACCTTGGTTGTAACGAGTGGTTATTTGAGTTACTGTTGCCTTTCTATCATCTCTAACCAGTCTGCCCAACAAGGCATTTTCGTCCACACAACTGCCGCTCACTGGATATTTTCGGACCATTCTCTGTAAACCCTAGAGATGGTTGTGCGTGAAAATCCCAGTAGATCAGCAGTTTTTGAAATACTCAGACCAGCCCGTCTGGCACCAACAACCATTCCACGTTCAAAGTCACTTAAATCCCCTTTCTTCCCCATTCTGATGCTCGGTTTGAACTTCAGCAAGTCGTCTTCACCACATCTAGATGCCTAAATGCACTGAGTTGCTGCCATGTGATTGGCTGATTTGCAATTTGTGTTAGCAAGCAATTGAACAGGTGTACCTAATAAAGTGGCCGGTGAGTGTATATTGTTAGCTGGCTCTGTAACATCTTGCTCAAACTAAAATGATTTTATTGTACCATATATACAAACTAACAAGGCTAATGGCAAATGATTAAGACAGGAAACAGGAACCATAAGAGACCTTACTTGATGTTAAACAAATCCACAAAAACTGTTACACATTTTTAATGTCACATTAATAATGCTGCATCACAGATGAATGAGCTAAGAAAATAATCACATGTGCTCTCCTGAACAGTTTTGTATGGTAAAAAAAAGTAGTACTAACTTTTTAAAGGGTGGCTTGACTAAAATTTAACTTAAATAATGGTTAGCTTATAACTTCGAAAGCAACAGTTTCACACTACATTCCTGGACACTAAAAGAACTGACCACAAAGTATTTCTAATTTACAACCCTAATGAAAACCTGAATACACCTCTGGGTGGAATGTTGTGAGGAAGACTGGAATTTGGTGAAAATGATCGGATAGCTTCAGTATGTCGTGTCTCGAAGGACGACAGGATAAAAGATTACTGTCAGACCTTGTGTTTAATGCATGCACTCTCATGGCTTCATAATCACCACAGCAGTCAGAGCGAGATCAAAGTTTCACAGAAGAGATTTTTATGAATGAAATGGTGCACGCAAACGTCAACACAGACAGCCTATGTGTTTTTATTAATGCTAATATATTCCACATCACACTTCTAATCACCTGTTGCAGTAAAGAAAAGTATCTCATACACATACACAGAGCAACCTGGACTCGCCAGCTATTACATTACCATAATATTAACAGCTATGAAAGCACATTTCATATTGACGTATGAAAAAGGCTCAGTCTGATCTCGTAAGTTAAAGCAGTCTCATAAGGAAACAAAACTTTTCTGCACTTTTTTTTTCTGCACAGAAAACTTCAGATATTATCATACGTCTGAATAACACAAGTTGCATTGCTTCAGAAGCAATGTTTTACTACATTTATATTTCACATGCATCACTCTATAGTATAATTTTAATATTATATAAATATTTTAAGGCATCCCTGACTTCAAACCTGTCATAATATTTTTTGAGGCAGCAACATCTGAATGTTCAAATGACTACAAACTACAAAGGAGGTAAGATATACTGAAAAAAAAAAATTCTGTATAAGCACCAGTTTCACAGACAAGGCTTAAGGCTAGTCCTAGAGTAAAATGCATGTTTGAGCTGTCTCAACTGAAAACAACTTGCACCGACATATCTTAAAATATGACAGTGCCATTGTTTTGTCTCAAGATGTCATTTTAATAAAATCTGCTTAAATATTCTAATTTAACTAAGGCCTAGTCCTGGCTTAAGCTAAGCTCTGTCTGTGAAACTGGGCCTATATGTTCCTCACACAAAGCTATTGTAGAATAGTTTATTTTAATGATGAAGATGAACAGCAAAAAGAACAAGAAAAACAACACATGCAACAATGCGCAAGTGGAATACATTTGAGACAGATTTACTAATATGTAAACATCAACATTTTATTTTTAGCCAGTTATGTTATTTGAGGCTTTTTTTATTATTTTTTTTTTAATAACCCTGAAACCACAGAAACAGACCATTTATGATTTATGAAAGCCTTTCTCAGGCATAAACAGTGTTGTGTTCAGGTTTGTAGTGGTTTCTCAGATCCTTACAGCACAGCGGAGTGGAGAACCTGTACAGTGGTATGTGGATGATGTAATCATTGTTGGTTTTAGTAAGGTGAGATTCTGTAAATGTACAGATGTAGTGATGAAGATTACAATGACTTAAACATGATGAATAGATGCAGGATTTATGAGTCAGTATTTGATGCTTTGCGCAGATGGTCCTTTCTTGCCTTGCCATCAAGCAATGTATATGTATAAGTTCATGTAGCCAGACTTTTGACTTTCAGCAAAATATCTGTTCCTCATTGCTGCTTATTCTGGGCAAAAAACACCCACTTAGGAAGAGACCGTCTGAATGGCATGCAAAGCGATCAACCAAAGTTTGTTTTGTTTTTGTACAGAAAACGCTATTAAAATAGAGGAAAATGTGTGTAGATTTGTGTAGTTACTCCCCCCATATATATGTGTGACCCTGGACCACAAAACCAGTCTTAAGTCGCTGGGGTATATTTGTAGCAATAGCCAAAAAAACATTGTATGGGTCAAAATTATCGATTTTTCTTTTATGCCAGAAATCATTAGGATATTAAGTAAAGATCATGTTCCATGAAGATGTTTAGTAAATTTCCTACTGTAAATATATAAAAACGTAATTTAATAGTAATATGTATTGCTAAGAACTTCATTTGGACAACTTTAAAGGCGATTTTCTCAATATTTAGATTTTTTTGCACCCTCAGATTCCAGATTTGCAAATAGTTGTATCTCGGCCAAATATTGTCCTATCCTAACAAACCATCCATCAATGGAAAGCTTATTTATTCAGCTTTCAGATGATGTATCTCAAAATCTCAAAAATAACCATTATGATTGTTTTTGTGGTCCAAGGTCACATATATATTGTATATCACTTATTGGAGACTGTGAATTTGTTTAAAAAATCTCACATAATGCTGAGACCAAATGCAGGCATTGTGCCTAAAACAAACAGATAATGTCTACTCACTGTAAGCACACTATTCTTCCCCTTTCTCAAATAGATTTGGGGAATTATACTTTTCTCAAACAGGGTAGATAAAACATTTTCTATATTTTTTCTGTCTGATTGTATCTTAAATTCTCATTTTCTCCATTATCTTCATTTTATGCGTAAATTATTCAGGACTCAGAAGAGACATTTGCAGTTTAATTTACCAAGATGGGAAAGATTTTAGCTTCTTTGATTTCATTGTGCATTTCTTGGTTCCGACCTTTTACCTATTGGCAACGTACACATCCCATTTGCCAGGGTCTGTTCTGCTTGGTGAAAGGATTCTTATCAGTACACACTCAGAGAATGAGGTTTGTTTTGTTGGACCAGAGAGACGGTTTGCAATGAATGTTAGACAAAATCACTGTCTCCACACTCACCTGAAAATCCACTGCTAGCTGTTTTGCCGTGAGACGCAAGGGTTCTGGGTATCCTACCTACAGTATATATTTACACAGTGCATCAGGATGCTGTTAGTATTTATCTTTAATGGCAAAAAAACAAGACACATTTTCTAAAAATAAGTTCCCTTTCAAGGAAACTTCGAACTGCGTCCTCTAGGGGTCGCTATGGGGAATGCCTCGTCGTGCCCAGTGTCTGAAGCATACATTGAAAAAACACCAACAACACGTTGGCCGGCAACAGCCATGACGTCACTACCGGTGTGATTATATAGTATAAATAGGCGCCGGGAGAACACATCCTCTTCTTCGTCTTCATTGACTGTTTTGTTTGAAGCGTGCATTTCTGTGGTAAGAGCGATCTCTATTCATATAATTATGGCGAGCACTAGCAAAGCGTTTAGAGGATGTGTGCATTCGTGTCGTCTTTATTTAACATCTGATGACACACACGATCTATGCGTTGTTTGTTTGGGCGAAGAGCACACACGCGATGTCCTCGAGGGGGCAATCTGCGTGCACTGCGAGCGTTTTCCAATGAAAAAGCTCCGCTCTTGTTTGTCTTTCTTTTCGAGGAAAGAGGGGTAGCCATCTGCTTCCCGTGATTCAGGACCCGCCGCTGCTGAGGCACGGAGGAGAATGAGCTCGTGGGGATCGCAGGTGGATCTGGCCGATTTTAAAGTTTAAATAGGGGTTTTCCCTCTCGCAATCGTCGGCTGTGGACGAGAGTGAGCCGCTGGAGGATGATGTTATTTAATTAACATCGTCTGAACCAGGGGCCAGTGCTCTGCAGATTTCAGCCCAGGAAGAGCAGGAAATGTCTGAGGAGGGCGAAGAAGCTGAGGCTGAGCCTTCCCAATCCTCCTGCCCTGCATATGATGAGCTTTTTGAAAGTTACGGATC